ATATATATATATATATATATATATATATATATATATATATATATTCCAGTAAATCCGCGCGGTCCTTTAGAAGTATACATGTCTGTGAGCTGCACGCCTGGTAGTTGCATGAATGTTCCGCCGCTGCATTCACGTAAACAACTAGGCGCGCAGCTCACAGACGTGTATACATTTAAAAAACAGCACGGATTTACTGGAATTTATTAAAGAATATCTGTCTCGTTAAGTATCAAAGACAAAAATGGATTCAAGACTTTTCGATTCAATTTTTCATAAGAAATAACGCTATGTGCTTCGTAGGCAAAGGTAAAGAAACACCCTGTATATATAATATTTATATACTTGACTTTTTTCCATCTTACTACCCTGAATCCTGAATATATCGTGCATGTGAATCCAGAAAGTACCGCACAAGATTGTAGCTAATCAACCAATTGAACGAACTTTGTTACTTTGTTCTAAGAATTCTTAGAACATTCTTAGGATATCTATTGAACATTTGTGCTATATATAGCCCGTCTTATAAATGCATTATCTGTCAACAAAAAAATGTTATCATATCCCGCCAAAAAGAACAAATATCCATAAATAAAAGTAAGAAGAAAACAAAAGTTACGAGACATGTTTCGTTAGCTACTGTTCAAAAGCGTGACATAAAACGTTAACCGCTTTTCAAAGTCGAATATCTTGTTTGAATTAAAATTGCCAAAAGGATTGCGTTATGCAATCGATTGTAAGATTCTTGTTCACTTCAAGAAGATAATCGATTATTCGACATTTATTCGGATTAATCAGAATTCGTCCTGTTTCTTCGATATAGAATCTGAAAAATTCGAGTCCGTTCTGTTAAATTAAATTCGTTATCTGGCGGGAAAATCGCGCTCGCTACATATTTCATACGAAACGCATAAAAAATGCATCATGGTTGACCGCACTAACAAACGTTAGTTCGAAGAGCCAACCTAAGTTGAACAAGTCAAGCTTTTTTTTCTACGTCTATTGTAAACAAGACTATAATCTAAAGAGGAAGTAGCGAATCACGAAACACTTACTTTATCCAGACTGTGATCACTTTTCGTTCACATTATTAAGCAGAAGAGGAACAGTGAGAGAGAAAGTACGTATGCGTGTAAGATACTCTTATCTTTCAGTCTGCTTAGATCAATCAATATAATCTATTTAAAGAAGATAAGAAGCTTTAAATACACCTACAGAATATCCCAAAACCACCGTTCGTACGATATCTATTAATATTGATAGATCAAAACACATGATGGCGCTTGTTTCTCGCACGAAACTTGCGAAATATTTGACATAATAATAAGGAAAATCTTGCTCTTCGAAAACTACAATTGCACCATGCGCAATTATTATCTGTCGCAGTGGAATAGAATAATCGTGTGCAAGATAAATTATATAAATTCCAGTTACTTATATATCATAGATAGTTTAGGAATAATCTATAAATGTGTATATATTCTATGAATATTCTTTACAAATGTTTATATGTTCCATGAATGTATTAAAAATACAATAATATGCTAATAGTACGTTCATAGTATATTTGAATGACACAACTATAAATGTGTTACGAATTGCATAAGATATTTATAAAATATAAGTTAATCATTAACTGTTACAATTATAAAGAAGTAATTTGAGTACTTCATTTTTTTTTCTTTTTTTTTTAATACGTTTCATTACTAAGCTATAATAAATGCATATTACTATTTGGAATTTGTGAAAAATTTTCCAATTATGTAAATATATTACACATGCGTAATTAGTGAACTTTATAAGTGTTCTAAAAATATTTTTTTTTATTATAAATATATGAATCTCTATGTATTGTACGTATATTTATAGAATATTCGATTCAAATACTCTATAATTAAGAGCACTTGTATTTCGTAAGAATATTCATAGAATATTTTGTACGTTATTTGTGTTCTTCTATTCGTCCATGTCACGTTTGCATTTTATTTTGTTGCATGTTTGTATCGTTGTCCACAGGAATAATACGTCGAGATTATTTGAAAGGACAATATCGGCGGTGATAATTTGTAGTGGCAATCATCTCGAATATGTTACGCTTATATCTTTTAGAAGATAACATTTGACCAACAATCGGCAGTTGTTGCAAGATGTTTTCGACACGTCTTGCCTCTTATCGTGTATGTGTGCCCCGCTGGACATGTGTAGACGTATCGTCCGATATAAAAGCACGTTTCCGCAGCAAATATCCTCTCTTTGCTCCTCGATCAGGCACACATACGGCTTGTCTGTGAAAACGTTGCTGCCCGATTTCTTTTAGAACGTACAAATTAGTGCACTGACATCCTTCAACTGGAATTAAAGACCAAAAATGTCAGGAAAAAAATTAGGTGAGATATATGATAGTGCCAATAAAGCCAATAAAGCTAATGGAGCGAGAATAAAGGACGTTTTAACCTTTAATTGGTCGTCGTGTGATGCCGCTAACGATCGACCAGTTCGTTCGATCTGTATTTTACTGTTTCCTCAGGTGTTAATAAAACATTGATGTTTGATTTGTATCTCGTTTATTAGTAACTTAGATTTAAATCACATTTTACCGTCGAATGCGTAATTACTCGTGAAGTTGAATTTTAAAAACTGATTTTTCAATAGTAGTTTAAACTTAAATTTTAGTTATTTTAAGTAGTCTAAACTTAAATTTAAGTTTAAATTATTGAAAAATCAGTCCTAAATCATGTAAACATTGGTGTTAATTTTTTATATGGAATACTGATAATAATTTGAATTTTTATCAATAATCAGCAAGAATATATGGAATGCTTATATAATTCTACTTTATTTTTAGCACTTCTGAGTGTGTCTGACAAGACCAACTTGTTACCATTGGCAAAAAAACTACATGAATTTGGATTAACACTAATCGCCTCTGGAGGTACCGCACAGACATTGAGAAATGCTAATCTACCTGTGCGAGATGTTTCTGAGGTCACAGGAGCACCTGAGATGCTTGGTGGACGTGTGAAGACTCTTCACCCTGCTGTTCACGCTGGTAAAAATGAATTGATCATATTTACATTTCTGGATTTCTACATTATATTACATTTTTATATTTTATGACACACACATATTGGTAAAACTGAATTTATCATTTTTACCTTATTAAATTATTAGTAACATAACATCAATATTACAATTTCCTGCTCAACAATGTAAATGCAATATAATATGAATGTTATGTAACAGTTACATTGTTGAATGGGAAATTATAACATTGATTAATGTTACTGTTAGTTGGTGTTTACTGGATATAGTCTATGTATGCATTCTTATCCAGATAACATAAAACGTTCCAGAATCATACTGAATATCCAGAATGTCTCAAAGAATGTTTTAAAATATGCTGAGAATATCAGGACGTTTTATGCTATCAGAATATATTCTTATACTTTTACATCTTATGATTTTATGTAATACCATTATATAGGTATCCTTGCTAGATCGATTATTTCCGACATGAAGGACCTTCAGAGTCAGAATTACGATCTTATTGAAGTGGTGGTTTGCAATTTGTATCCTTTCGTACATACCGTCTCGAAACCCGGTGTGGCAGTTGAGGATGCAATAGAGAACATCGATATCGGCGGAGTAACTCTGCTACGTGCTGCGGCAAAGAATCATGCCAGAGTTACGGTCATCTGTGACCCGAACGATTACGATAAGGTCATCAATGAGATGGACACCACGGAGGACAGGAACACTTCCCTGGAGACTAGACAAACTTTGGCCCTGAAAGCGTTCACTCACACTGCTGAGTACGATGACGCTATTTCGGATTACTTTCGCAAGCAGTACAGCGCCGGGGTGTCCCAGCTCACTCTTCGTTACGGCATGAATCCGCATCAGAAGCCCGCGCAGATATTCACCACTCTGGAGAAGCTGCCGTTGACTGTGTTGAACGGATCGCCCGGTTTCATCAATCTGTGCGACGCGTTGAACGGCTATCAACTCGTCAAGGAATTGAAGTTCGCGTTGAATTTGCCCGCGGCGACTTCTTTCAAGCATGTCAGCCCGGCTGGAGCTGCCGTCAGCATTCCCTTGGATCGCACGCAAGCGAAACTGTGCCAAGTCGATGATCTCTTTGAACAGCTTACGCCGTTGGCGACTGCCTACGCTCGTGCACGCGGCGCCGATCGTATGTCTAGTTTCGGCGACTTCATTGCTTTGTCCGAGCCGTGCGACGTTATAACAGCCAAAATTATATCACGGTACGTAACGTTCAATGTTACACGATTACATGTTACAAGATCACAGTTGTTCTATATACAGAGTGAATCACCTAACATTAGATTCTAAAATATCTGTTGTTTTTTATATTAGAGGAAAATATGCAAAAGTAACTAATTGTATAGTTGCAAGGGTTGGCTGATCACAATATTTATCCTTTCCATTCACACAATTTTTTCTTCACATATTATCTTCCAATATAAAGAACAATAGAGATATTTTAGAATCTAATGTTAAGTAACTCTTATCCTATATATTTTTATATTTAATTTATATTAATATTATATTAGTTTATATATCAGTTATATTTTAGAATATAGATGAATTAAACTTCAATTTAATAATATATTGTATTTGCATATATATTATATACTTATGTATAAAATATATAACATATTCTCTTTTATTACTTTAGAGAAGTCTCTGATGGTATCATAGCGCCTGCTTATTCGGAAGAAGCCCTTGAGATATTGAAGAAGAAGAAGAACGGCTCGTATTGTGTACTTCAGATTGATCCTTCTTATGTGCCATCTCCAGTAGAGCGCAAGATCCTGTATGGTCTGGCGATGGAGCAAAAGCGTAACGACGCGCTAATCGATAAGGGGACGTTCGATAACATCGTGACAAAGAAGACGAAGATTCTGTCGGAAAATGCCATCCGCGACATGATCGTGGCTACTATCACTGTGAAGTATACGCAGAGTAATTCTGTCTGTTACGCGAAGGATGGGCAGGTGATCGGAACCGGTGCCGGGCAGCAATCTCGAATTCATTGTACAAGGCTTGCAGGCGATAAGGCTGATAACTGGTTCGTTGTTTTTTTTTTAACCATCAGTGTGCAATATAAGGTCTGTGAGACCCGAGCAAATATTCAATCGCTCATAAACTTTCGTAAAGGGTCCGGGAAAATTTTAAAATAATGCAAATCTATTCGCAGATTTTGATTTTATTGTGCTGTTATCTTGTAACTAAGACTTTTCTATATCTCTGAAAAAATGTGTTCAAAAATATTGATTTTCGACGAAGTCATAGTAAAGTTATAGCAACTCAAAGTTGCTGAGGTCTAACAAACCCAGATTGTATAAAAAAATATGATTGTGTACGCGAAGGGTTAATTATATATATTTAAAAAAGTTTTAATTGATAAGAAAATAATATCAATTACTTTATTACTGTGTGTATTACAGGTGGCTTCGTCAACATCCAAAAGTGACTGGAATGAAATTTAAGAAAGGTGTAAAAAGAGCGGAAATCTCTAATGCTATCGATAATTACGTAAACGGAACTATAGGAAAGGATATGGACACGTCCATATGGGCTGCAATGTACGAGGAAGTTCCTGCAAAATTGTCGGAAAGTGAGAGACTCGAATGGCTGAAGAAATTGGATAACGTTGCTCTGAGCAGTGATGCCTTCTTCCCGTTCAGAGATAACGTTGATCGAGCTAGACTCGTACGTACAGTGTTATCTTCACTTTACTAGTCTTGTGTAATAAATTGGATGTGATAAGTTGTTTCATCCATTTATTCTCCTAAGTAGAAAGTTGCTTTATTATATTGTAACGCTTTTTTTCTTTTTGTTGCAGAGTGGTGTTAGATATATTGCAAGTCCAGCTGGATCTACGAACGACGAAGTAGTAATCGAAGCTTGTAACGAGCATGATATTGTGCTGGTTCATACTGGTTTCCGATTATTCCATCATTAGACGTAAAACAGATTTGAGAGATATGTTTGATCATTATTTTTCTACGAATAGAAACTTATTCGACGATTACTATTTCCCCTCTATGGATATATTTAGTCAAAAGATGTCTTCCAATTAACTTCGATCTGAGAAGACTGAATATTTTTTTATCTGAATCTTATTTCCTTTTTTAACATTTATCAAGTTTGATATGCAGTTCCCTATATATAATATAGTTCATAAACGTGTTTACGTATATGTGCATTCGTTTATTATTGCAATATTTATCCAAGCTCCTACCCCAGAATGCCTTGATTTTATCTTTATTTTTTTTATTAAGAGGTTAACGCATTTATGTACATGATTTATCTTTGACGTATTTTTACATAACTAAGTCGATAAACATTTACTTGCATAAATTGACGTTTTTATTAGGCCGGTTCTATATTGTAATATCACAAGAAAATTAATTGTGATTGGTTAATTTTCGTGTAACCTTGCAGTTAATGTAGAACCAGCCTTAAACAATGTGAATAGTTTTTATTAATTTTCTCATTTTGTTTTAAATATTTCGAGACAGAGAAAAGTGAAAACGATACTTACAAATTTGAATCTTGGCTGATCCAACTGTATAGACCAATCAGATCACGAGTTACTAACGTTGCGAATCCTATTGCAGGATTCACACCGCGTCCGATGCCCGATGTACGACATCCGATACCCAATAAAAGAATAGCTTCCCAATGGAGAATTGAATTCTATATTAGAAAGTTGTTTTCCTATTGGATATCGAAGTCGTACGTCGACATCGGACGCGGTGTGAATCCTGCAACTGTTTCGTACATGTAAATTTGCCTTGTTCATAATCTTTACCGCGCGCCGCTGAGAATACTGTGCTACTGTTTTTATTTATAAGAAGAATATTTATAATTACGATAAAATAATAATCGCATAATTAATATCGTGACTTGGATAATTATGGATGAAGTTGACAACGCTCAAATCATTGTTAGTGAAGTATACATGTGTAAAATTATTGATGACAGAAACTGTCAAAATTTATAAAAATTACGTACTATGTGTATCTTCACCAAAAAATAAAATAATTTTATTTTATAATCTAGCTAGTTTTAATGTATTTATTAAAATAATGTCTACAATTGGTATTTTACGCTACTTATAAATTTATTTATAATATTCATCTTTGATAATTATATCAATGTATTTCAATATTTAAATTTCAAGTTTTCATCAAATATTTAGTGATAACAGAAATTCATAAAAAAACTAAAAAACTTTATTCTCTTTTTATACTTATTGATGATTTTATATGTACTTTAAATTTTGCAGGTTATAGCAGATGATGTTTGCAGAAGAGCAGGTATCACAACAACTTGGATTAACAGTAATAGATTTGGGATACATGCATACAAACATGTGAATGAATGTTCACAAGGTTAGCAAATAATTTGTATACAAATCCTTTACTTATACTGAAATCCTATATATTATTTGAATACAAATAAAAAGAGGATTATATTATTTCACTGTGTAACATTTTTTTCAGATACCAAAAGTCAATTTGCACCCTGTGATGCCAGAGTACATTTTCTAAGGCCAGAAGTAATATTATTTTCACCTCTTTTACGTAAATTGGTTAATGAAAGCAATGGAGTTTTCCTATCGGTTCAAAAAGTCAAGTCTTCCTCTGGTGACAGAAGACCAGAACTTCTTAAATACAGTAAACAATACAGGTCTATTTTGAGAGCTTGTGTGGAAAATCTACAAGATATTCTACCCAAAGAACCATTATCAGAAGTAAAAATTACTCTAGAAAATTTTCTGACCATATTTTACCAAGTAGAATGTATCTGGCACTTGACAGAAATTCTTTATGTTGACACAGTACCAGGTATATTGAGATAGATTATATATACATACAATGCATAATTCACAAAATATACAAACAATTAAGCATCAATCTTGCTTTAAAAGTGTGTAAACAATCAAATTAGACAATAAATGAAACTATTGTGTTTCTTCAATCTTGTTCATCCTATTCTTTTTATAGGTGACGTTGTACTGCCACAGTTATTAGAATGGATCAGTTTTCATTTTCCCTCGAGAGAACTTGCGGCATCAAAGATTATGTCACAGAAAACCGTCGGCGCCGATTTAGAGAACTCAAATTTCTGGGAAGTTGTAATAGGCTGTGCATTCCATGGCAAATTAAATTCAGTTTGCCGTCTTCTAGCTATGCACAGCAAAGCAGACCATTCGGCATTCATTACTGCGGATAATATCATCAGATGTATGCCGGTGTACAACGTGTACGGTGGATATTCCGTGAATGAGTTTATTATGCGATGGAAACACTGGCAAATGGATCTCTGCTCCAATCTAGATTCAAATTGCTTTGTTATAGATAGTAACTTGGAGATGCTTATGAAGGTCAGTAAAAAATAATATTGTAGCTCGTGCAGTTCTTTATTTTGTATAAAGAGTAATACTTTATCTTCTTTCACAGTTGATAGCAGGAGATGAATCGATATTGTGGGAATTTTCTACGTATACAGAAGCATGGTACGAATTATTAGCGGCAAAATTATTCTATTCGGCGCCTTGCTGCAAGCAGCAAGAACTTTCACGTTACGCGAACAATATCGCCGAGAGGTGGCAAGCAAACAGGCATTTGGACCGCATGATTCTCGCTCTAATGGAAAACGATCTGCATCAAGTCATCAAGGAGATACAATACATGAATGATAATGGTTGGTTTGCGGCTCATCTGATGGATCTCTTGTACAAGTGTGGGAAATTGACTATTCTGAATAAGGAGAAGGTTAAGTGAGTATAAATGCTGGTAAATTTAAGTATTTCAATCAAATATTAGATCACTATGCAAAAAACGGTGTACATCAACAGTAATATTATTAATACCATGTATTACTTAGCAATATTATTGACAAATGTAAATTACCTTATTTAAAATTGCTGAAAATAATTGTTTCCAACATGTGACAAAACACATTAATCATTTTGCTATTAATTTTGTTAGTTTGAAATAAAAAACGTTAATAACATTATTTTCATTTTGTGAAAACAAATGTTATCGACAAAAGTTTCTTTGGTAACATGCTGATTTTGTCACCAATATTGTCAAAAACATCATTTCTGTAACCCATAACTTGGCAGTCTAAATTAAATGATATTTAAAGCAAATGTTATTAGTAGAAAATTGAACTAGATATATTAGCAACACTGTTAGTAATAAAGGTTTTATCTGGACTAATTGTACTATAAAAATTATCAAATTTATGTATAGTAAATTTGCTAATAATAATGTCATTAACTTTTTAAAGCTTTCCAACATTGTTGAAAACATTTGAGAATATTCTTATTATTAATAACATTGCTATTAGTAATTTAATTATAGCAATAAGCAGTAAGTAGTTTTTTAACTTTGTCGGTGACATTTATTTTCCATATTGTTTAAAGCACATTTTGTCATAAACATTAAGCAAGTCATTCTCTAAAATACACATGTTTTTGCTAAAAACATTTTTATTATTAGTTTTTTGCTATTAACATTGTTACTACCATTTTTTTGGTGTAAATTAGTCTTAACATTTGTTGAATTTCTCGTCTTAAAAATTTGCTTCTCATGGGGATTACGTTAATTTTTACAGCATGACCGAGAAGTTACACGAATCCCTCGTATTAGAGTACGGCACCACACTGATGGGGCATCGTTCGTTGTGGCAATGCGGCACGAGTTATTTAGTGCATTGTCCCGTGCAAGGTATGGCAAGGCTAGAGATTTTGTTACAGTCTTTACCGACCGGCGCGGAAGCGAGAATCAACAAGATCATTGACATCGCGCAAGACAACAACATGCCCCACGTTGGTAAAATTCGATTTCAATTTAGTTGTACGTTAATTTAACTCGAATGATTGATGCCACGATCATTTAGAACCGCGTCTTTCTCAGTTACCAGCATATGCAAGATTCAGGGAATGAAGAGTATAAGGCAAGGCAGACTAGGCAATGCTCTCACTTGGGCGCTCAAAGCACATGATGGCAATTTCACTACATATATCGCGGATGAATTTCTCAAACATTACGCAGAACATGGAAAATTGGAGTGTCGGGATCTGCTGGAGAACTTGGGCTCTTGCATGCTCGCTAGCGATAGACTCACGTTTTTAGGTAAACGATCGATGCAACAACAAACGAAATTGTCTGATGCGAGTAACGACTTGTCTAACGATTTTATTATATTTAGGGAAATACTGCGAGTTTCATCAGATGTACGGAATCGGCGAGTTTCGAGAAGCAGCGAGTTTATTAGTATCCCTTTTGGTCTCAAATCTGACGCCAAAATAGTAAGTTGTGATCTGCAAAAAATATTATAATACTTCCTTATTTACAATAATAGATACAAAATGATAACATTACAGATTTACCCAGAATTTTAATCTAAATTAATGTAATTAATTAAATTAAATCAATAACCACGTTCAGCAGAAAAAGCTGCTTTGCAACTGTTGTAAAATTCGTGGATCTGATTGGCGTGTGCTCTTAATTTTGGCTGAATCTAAGAGCGTATACCAATCAGATTTACAAATTTTCAAAAAGTTACGAAGCAGTTCTCTCTAAATGCAATTTATGATTTTTAACGTAAATTCTTCCTCAGTTTTTGGTCTATTCTTCTGACGGATGCTATACCACTGTTGGAAGCCAAAGATGTGATCTTCTCCTCTAACGACTGCTACGAGTTGCTACGTTGCGTGGAAGCTCACGGCGACGATCCCAAATTTCAAGACAAGATCTCAATCTTCCGATTAGGCATCGCACGGAATCTGGCGCGAGCTCTCAGCTTAGAAGGTTGCCAGGCTGAGCACTAATATTGTTCATCATTGTTCTAACTTTTACTTTCCACTATATAGAGCAACATTAATATCTTTTTCTGAATAAATAAAATTGTTAAGACTGTTAAGACCAGTTTATATACAAAAAATGGCAGTAACAATGTTAATGGCAAAAAGCTAATAACAAAAATGTTTTTAGCAAAACTATGTTCTCTGGAAAATGACTTAATGATTATAAAAAAATATGCTTTTAACTATATAAATGTTATAATAATGTGGAAAATAAATGTTACTGACAAAATTAGAAGAACTATTGACCATTATTAAATTGCTAATAGCAATGTTATCAATAAAAATGATATTTTCAAATTTATTTTAATTATTTTGATGACATCTTTTAAATCATCAATGTTTTAGTTATCCCTGGTCTACATTCAATGATTTAAGATTTAAGGGTATGCTGGACATGAAAACTTTACCGACACTGACTTTTTTTCTGCAGAGTTTACATCTCGTTACGGTAATTGTTCAGAAGAGCTACTCACCTCCGATTTTAATAAAAGAGGATTCAATCGACGCGTTTTTACTTAAAATGAAGGAATCCGGCCGAAAAAAACGTCGCTCTGCCCCGCGAGCCGAGATATTAAGTGTTAAAGTTCACGCCTTAACAGGTTAGAAAACTTGTTAAACTGATGATACAGTCCTGCACTGTGGTCATGTGCGCATGCGTATGTAACCACAACGTTTATGCATGCCAAATAACTTTTTCCTCTGACAAAATCGTCGCTCTCTACTGCGAAGCGTGGTATTAATAGACAAAGTTGAGGGCGTTAGGTTAGAAAATCTGTCATACCATCTATTTCTAGCTATGTAACTGGGGGGTTTCGCCCCCCAGACCCCCTATTACGGGGGGGTGAGGGCTGTAGTCTTTTGTAAGAAATTGGCTGCGTTCAGAAAACATAGCTAATCAGTGAGCGGTCAGTGATTATTGGTCCTTACTGTTAGATCTCTAACTTTAGACAAATTATATTGACGAATTGCTCAACTGTTGTGCAACTGTTGAGTTCGCTGAACGTACCTATTCACTCTTTAGCTTAAGTACAAGAGACTATAGTTCCCCCCCGTGATAGGGGGGTCTGGGGGGCGAAGCCCCCCAGTTACATAGCTAGAGATAGATGACAGATTTTCTAACCTAGCACGCCCTCAACTTTGTCTATTAATATCTCGCTTCGCAGTAGAGAGCAACGATTTTGCCAGAGGAAAAAGTTATTTGGCATGCAAAAACGCGTCGATTAAGTCTATTTTCATCGAAATCGGAGGTGATGCCGCTAAACTAAATAATTACTAGAAAATTTATTAACTTTCTTGGGAATTAAAAGTTTATTCTCTGCTATAATTGAAGTTAAAACTTACCTCCATCGCCCTTATACACACACACACACACACATGTTTAACCTGGTTAGGTTTAACTAAAAACACCATGCTACATTAAAGAATAATTTAAGAAACCTACTGTCATTTTAAATTTCGCATACTGTGTGCTAGAAGCATGCGTGTGGTCACGTACGCATGCGCACATGACCACAGTGCAGGACCGTATCATCCGTTTGACAAGTTTTCTAACCTGTTAAGGCGTGAACTTTAACACTTAATATCTCGGCTCGCGGGGCAGAGCGACGCTTTTTTTCGGCCGGATTTGTTTATTTTAAGTAAAAACGCGTCGATTGAGTCCTCTTTTATTAAAATCGGAGGTGAAGTAGCTCTTCTGAACAATTATCCTCGTTACTTGCACAGAATTACAAATGTTTTTGCACAACAAAAGTACATGCAAAAATTAATTGGAACATTGTTCAATATGTGAAAACGAAAAAAATATTTCTAATATTAAATTTTGAGATGTCAGTTAATGCAATATTTGTTAAATACAAAAATTCTACAGGTTGCACATACCGAAACTGTGGATCCAATCAAAAAAATTTTAACGATCATTATTATACTTTCAGAATTAGTTTAGATGCCAAAAAAGATACGAAAAATTTGTAGAGAAATTTATAACAATATGCGGCTAGATATTCCAACAAATATGATAAAGTAGAGCAGAAAATTAGTTCACGAATATTTTTACAATGGGCGCTGTACTTTCTTCGCACATTTCACAACGTTAGAATTAGAGGGTGCTTTCCAATTGCTTAACACATCTTGACACACATGTACACAAAACCAGTTTATTGGTCACATATTATCTAATATATCTTGTAAGATAATATGCAACCAATAAATTGGTTTTGTGTGACACAGTGTACGCAACTGGAAAGCACCCAGAGAGAAGAAGGAGAGAGGTCATGGGTCGGTTTTAGCCATAGACCCTAGCAAACACAGAATATAACTGCTATATAACATAGAAATAACGCATAATATAATGGGTGTATATCAGTTGGACACGGGGCAATTGGACACAGTCCAATCACAAGTCGCTGTTCCAAGGGACCCTACAAATGTCTCTAATCACACGGTGCTGTGATTGGCTGTGTCCAAATGCATTGTGTCCAAGTGCACCGCTCCTGTGGCGTTTATATCCACTAGGTGGATATAAACTCGCTCAGATTTAATAATACTCAAAAAATAATCTTTATTCGTTGCCACCGTGAAGTACAAAGAGACTCCCGACTCCTTCAAAGCTAACTAACTATCAAAGAAAATAATTCCCCAGAGCGGGGAATTAGTGTCCTGGTTTCTTCCTAACGGGTGTGAACACATTTGTCAGCGAGTGCATGGTAGCGTTCTAGTTGGTTGCGTTGGAACCTGATTGTCCGCTCCTGTAAGGTTGCCACAGTACTCCCCCTTGAGTGGCTTGGTAGTTTATCAAGTCACGAAGGTAACGCGTCGGGGTTCCGGATGTTGTATCTCGCTTGTTGTTTGCGACGTCCCTGGGGTTAGTTCTGGCTCGTGTGGTGCTATTTCTAAGAAAACTGGCTTCAATCTGTCGATATAGGTGTCTTGTGGTTGGCCTTTGTAATTGATCCTGTAAACAAATTTGTTAAGTTTTCTAATAATTGGGAATGGACCTTCGTATGGCTGGTCGAAAGGTCTTCTATGTTTGTCGACTCGTACGAAGACATGAGAGCTGTCTTCTAATTCCTTGTAGATGAATGATTTGGTTCTCGTGTGATGAGCGGTGGGTACCGGTCGGACTTTCTTCATGAATTCCCTGAATTTTTCAGCGAACATTTGTGGGCAGCCCGTTGATTCTATGTCTGAGAAATATTCTCTTGGGATGCGTAATGTCGTACCATATACAAGTTCGGCCACTGATGCCTTGATATCCTCCTTGTAGCTCGTTCGTAGACCCAGTAAGACAGTTGGGAGGACTTCGGTCCATTCTTGGTTTACTGCGTGGCATCTCAATGCAGTTTTAAGAGAATGGTGCCATCTTTCCACCATACCATTAGATTGTGGATGGTAAGTGGTTGTTTGTATTCTGTCCGCGCCAACTAGTTTAATGAATGCGTCGAATACTGCAGCTTCGAATTGGCTGCCTCTGTCAGTTGTTATCACAGCTGGGGAGCCGAATCGTGTTATCCAGGTTTCAAAAAACGCTGCGACGATAGTGTTTGCGTTTGTGTCAGGGATAGGAACAGCCTCAGGCCATCTGGTGTAGCGGTCGATCATGGTCAAACAATATTTTTGTCCTTTAGAAGATGGTAATGGTCCGATTATATCGAGGTGTACGTGATAAAAGCGGTCTTCTGGAATCTCGATATGTTCCGGAGTGTGCTTGTTGTGTCGTTGTATTTTCGAACGTTGACATGGGAGGCACGTTCTGACCCATGACGCAACATCTTTGTTGATGCTCGGCCAGATGAACCTTCTCAGGATCAGTTTCCTAGTTGCTTTGGTTCCAGGGTGTGACATCCTGTGGACAATATTCAAGATTCTTTTGCGTAGTGTGGCTGGAACATAAATTCTAATATTATCGGAGACGTCACAGTAGATTGACGCATTAGAATCATCTAGTCGCAATTCTTTTAAGTTGAGTGAAGCTGGGTTGACTAGTAGTCTTTTTAGTTCCTCGTCCTCGTGTTGCTCTCTGGCTAATTCTTCCGTGGTGACAATGACTGGCATCTCAATTCGATTCTCGATAATGTATCTGCGACAATGTTGTCTTTTCCCGCCATGTGTTCGAATTTAGTGATGAATTGGCTAATGAAGTTAAGTTGTCGTTGTTGCCTAGGTGATGCCTTTTCCGGTTTTTGTTGGAGTGCGTATGTTTGAGGTTTTTGGTCAGTGCGAATTGTTAAGTCACGGCCTTCGATCATGTATCTAAAATGTTTGATTGCTTCATAGACTGTGAGTAATTCCCGGTCGTAGGTGCTATAGTTGGTTTGTGTGTTGGTAAGTTTGCGTGAGAAAAATCCTAACGGCGTTCTCTGACCGTTACGCTCTTGTTCCAGAACTGCTCCTATTGCGAAATCCGATGCATCAGTGGTGAGAATCAGTGGTGCATCTTCTGCTGGATGGGCTAGCAATGTTGCGTTAGCCAATTGTGTTTTGCAGTCGTTAAATGCTTTGGTAGTTGCTTCGCTCCATTGGACGGGTCGTTTATCTTTTTTCTTGCTGTTTAGCGTTACTGCATGTAAGGGTGCTTGTATATGCGCTGCTGTAGGTAAGAATCGGCGATAAAAGTTAATCATACCCAGGAATCTCCGTAATTCCTCGATAGTCTTCGGTTTAGGAAATTGTAAAATAGAATGTACTCGTTCTTCTAAAGGCTTAGTTCTCTCTGCCGAAATAGAACAGCCTAGATATTGTACTTTTTCTAACCCAAATTTACACTTATCTAAGTTAATACTGAGTCCATACTCTCGTAATCTTTGGAATACGTTTCGCAAGTGGCGTTTGTGATCATCGACTGTCTTAGAAGCTATGAGGATGTCGTCAATGTAACAAAAACATCCCTCTAGACCTCTAAGGGCCAAGTTGATGTATCGTTGAAATGTTTGAGCTGCGTTTTTCAAGCCGAATGGCATTATGTTAAATTCGTACAACCCAAAAGGAGTAATGGCAGTCTTTTCTCTATCCTCCTGAGCCATCGGGATTTGGTGATAAGCTCTCGTTAGGTCGAGCGTAGAAAAAATTGTGCAGTCTCGTAATTTATGTGCGAAATCGTGGAGATGTGGTATAGGATACTTATCTGATATAGTGATTTTGTTCAGACGTCTATAATCACCACAGATACGCCACTCTCCGTTCTTATTCTTGACTAGATGTAGTGCGCTTGCCCATGGATCTTCGCGTGGCCTGCAATCGCCGGCTTGGATCCATTTGTTTATCTGCTTCTGTGTGTATTTGTACCGACCTGGTGATAATCGCCTTAGCTTGTCTGCTACTGGTGCGCCTCGTGTGAGGATTCGGTGTTCGACGTGGTGTTTAACTATCTTCTTCTCCGCCGGTTTGGTAATATCGATAAATTCTCGAAGTATTAGGTTGTATTCCGTGTTCTGCTTTGAGATCAATATAGACTGCACGTTTCTGCAAACAATTTTGCCTTCTGCGTTTAGGTTCTGCGGTAGTGATATTGTCTACCAATCGTCGGTTTCGAAGATCGACTATTAGGTTGTACTTGTATAAAAAATCTGCACCTAATATGGGTTGAGTGACGTTTGCTACAGTGAACTGCCAGATAAATTGGCGTCGTAATCCTAAATTAAGTTCGAGTGTACGTAAGCCATAAGTGCGGATTACCGAACCGTTTGTGGCGTATAGGTGTTGCTTAGGCTTGTCCTGATGTCGTCGGCTCCAGGTTTTTGGTAGTACGGATACGTCCAAACCTGTATCGACTAGGAAAGA